GCAAAACTAAGAAAAATTCGTCGCAAATTTCGCTAGCAATGTTCGCTCACCATGTCCCGCATTTAGCTCGGCAATGACACTTCGCAAGTGATTCAATAACGAATAGCTTGTTTATGGGTAATCACATCTTCCCGATTTTCTCGCCCGACAATGCTCGACGATTAACCTCCCGATCTCTCTCGCTCCGGATCCCTCCAATCACTTCCGATTTCGGACAGCGGACTCCATCTAGTAGCATCCGGAGGAACCATACGTCCTACCGGCCCGTGTTGTCCCCTTTGCACGATAACCTATAAAAAGCTGAGAAAGAAACAGGTCGTCCGAGCTCACCGGAGACCCGTTGGCGCGCGTGCGAAATTCGCGGCTTTTAAAATGGACGACGAGACCGACCAGGAGACCACGATCGAGGACGACTACTACACGTTCCTGAACATCTCGAGAAACGTGAGAACGCCTCGACGATCCGTATGCAATTCACCCGGTTTCCCATGAGAGTAGAAATCGAGTCTCACGTACACCTTCCACGTGATACCTTCGTCTTCAGCACGCTGACGTAACGATGCTCCAAAGGATCCGTTTCCTCGCGACCGACGCGAGGAATCGCGGATAAATTAATTGGAAAGCGCGACGTCGATTCTGCCTCGCCAATCGCTCGTTCCTAACATATTATTTATCCTGCGACACAATTTTTCATTGCAGAACGCAAATCCGTTTGATCTTTGCATTACAAATGAGTGGATGTCATTTTAAATCTGTCCCTCTTTATCTTTTCTTTCATAAAAGCTACCTTTTAATTATGATGCAATCGTATAGTCTCTGCTGTAATGATTGCCTCTGATGTTCCAGGCTAGTCCTGAGGATATCAGCAATGCATATCGCAGACTTAGTAGACTCTACCATCCAGATAAGCACGTGGATCCAACTCTTAAAAAGGAAGCCGAGATTCTTTTTAATCGCACAAAGAAAGCTTATGAAGGTATATCACGATATACTTGATACGTACATATTTATATCAGAAGAATTTTGATTTAGAATTTATTTTATGTAGCTGATATCTTGCAATTATTTTTGTTATCTTTTTATCATTATTATTATAGCAAGTTATGAAATAAAATATTTAATTGACTACTTTATTTATTTGCAATATGAATTTTTGATCTTGCATTATGTGTACATTATATTGGTTTATTTGTTTAAATATGAATTTTGAATGTAAAATACTTGGTATTGTAGTGTTGAATGATCCACATCAAAGAGCGATTTATGACTCGCTGGGAATACGTGGATTGGAGACAGAAGGATGGGAAATAGTGCAGCGTACAAAAACGCCTCAAGAGATTCGCGAAGAATACGAGAGGCTGGCAAGGG